CTATCTATCTATCTATCTATCTATCTATCTATCTATCTATCTATCTACCTGGCACACTGATCAGTTTTCTCATAAATATTGTGGGCTTGTGCTTATTTTTTTTCAGCCCATAACACTTGTAGGATTACAAAGTTCAGAGCACTTGAAATCTGAGTTGTATCGACAACTTTTAGACCAGGGGTGTCCAAAACTGGTCCTAAGGGACACTGTCCTGCAGGTGTAGAATAATGTCTCAAAAGACTTGGTTCACCTCGATGTACTTTTAGCGGGCTTAAGTTTTTAAAATAGTTTTTTAATAGTTCCATTATATCAGAAACAGGGAAGTTGAAGCACTGAAAATGGTCAAACCTGCAGGTTAGCAGCCCCCAAGGACGCCCCTGTTTTAATATGAAAGATATCATAGCTGCACACACAGACACACTTGGACATCTTGATATGAGGGAGCTTGCACTGAAAACGAAATAAATGTGTTTGCTAATGATTCCGGTTCTCATTAAATCTACCATTAGATATAAATGGGTGCGTCCATCTGAAATTAAAGATAACATTAAAAAATGTTCAACCCAGTGGTGGAAGGCGGAACACCATTTTAGATTGATCAACACAAACCGAGTGTCTTGGGGCCTTTTTCGCAGGAGTTTTATCCTAATTTTCTTTTTACAAATGGGCGAGTTTAATTAGAACAGTAGGTCAGCTGTGTGCCCAGAAGTATGGCAAAGAAATTCTTCAGAATTCATTTAGGCCACTTTTATGCTAGAAAGGGTTGCGTTTCACAAACTAATTGAAAAAATGGTCAATTAGCACCCCACTGAGAAACATCTGAAGTTGTTCACTTCCACGCATTAGTTCACTGACAATTTGTTTGCTGTGCATGTCAATAGAACTAATCAAATTTGCTTTGGCAGAATACATTTTTCATAATTAGAATCATTCAGTTTATGATTATATTCAGAAGCGTCACACTTGGGCTTATGTGGGACTGAAAAAGACAAGATGACGAAATTTTGTCAAATGAATCAAATTTATTCAACCCGTTTTCCAGTCCAAAAGTACCACAATTATTTTTGAATTTGTTGCCAGTTGAATACAATGGACGATTCGTTGGATTTTTAGCGGTATCTCTCGGACAGAGCCAGAGCCAGGTTCTGCAGGAACTTGTCAAAGGAGACATGGATTTCCGGGGTGAACTCATCAGGGTAGTACATGGCGAGGACCAGGAGGATGTTGTGTGCCAGGATCTGTTGTGCACAAAACACACATCAAGTCATGAATACATGTTTTGAATATCCAACATTTACAAAAGAAAAACAAAAAAAAACAATTGGACTAAAAGCTATTCACGTTTGTGGCCTTTTGCCATTCATACTGCAACATCATAAACATTGATCACGTGATTAGTTTGAGGCACTTGGTAAGTTATACACGGTTTGTTCGTTCCAATGGAGCTGACCTTGAAGTTGGAAGGATCCACTCGGAGCTTGAAGGCATGCAGCTCGCTCAGTTTGGACAGACCTCCAACAAGGTCATCAATCTTCCCAACGGCATCCCCGATCGCTCCCATGATGGTAGCACCGTGCTTTTTCACTTGAGGAGAGCTGGGGCTCAAGTCAGACCAGTGGGAAAAGTACGTCTTGGTCTGAGGGTATGCGACCAGCATTCTGTACACATGGAATTCATGGCAATTTTTATTAAACAAGAAACATCAAAACACATTAAAGCATGATTTTTGCATATTTATTTACAATAAAAACTTAAAGATTTCCAACCTGCCCAAAGCCTCAGCTCCAATGACTTCATACTGACTGGAGACTTTCTGCCAGAAAGCCACCACAACAGACTTGTCCTTTCCAGTCAGACTCATGTTTGCTTTTTCTCCGAGTACTCTGAACAGAAAGATAACTCAGTGATGTGAACATCCAGGTGCAGTCCATTTGTATCCAACACTCCTCCTATTTTTTTCCCAATATCATCAAGATCTGGACCACACCCATATCAAATCTTCAGCAGACACATTTTTTTTCATATCTCTTGATATAAAAAAAACACACCCTGTTTTCAAAAATGTTTCGTGCAAGACATTTAACATAAGAAAAATAAGTCTAGAGAAGGCTACAATTTAAAGGAAAGATGCTGCCAAATGCTAATTCAACATCACCTTTAATAGGTAATTGGTTTGCCCTTTTTTTGCAAACTGTTCATTATTATGAAGCAATGAAATAAGCTAAAAATTATAAATACAGTTAAACTGACAACCATTGATAGCTGACTCTATGAATTGACTTAGATGACCAGAAATGGAAAAGAAAGTCTAAACATATTATTTTAGTTTCATACATAGTAAGGACGTTTACGTAAATTACCAGAAAGTTTAATAGTCTTGATTATAATATTCACATTTCTGATCAAACTTTTATCACATGTTGCCAGTAAGTCTTGCACTGATCTTATCTAACTCCTGAATGCTATAATGTCTAGAGAAGGCTTTAATTTAAAGAAAAGATGCTGGCAAATGTTACTTCAACCCCACCTTTAATAGGTAATTGGTTTGCCCTTTTTATTTGCAAGTTCACACTGTTCCTTATTATGAAGCAATGAAATAAGCAAAAAAGGACCAAAACCAGTTAAACTGACAACCATTGATAACTCACTCTATGAATTTAATTAGATGACCATAACTGGAAAAGAGTTTAAACATATTAATTCAGTTCCACACATAATAATGACTTTCACGCAAATTACAGGAAAGTTTAATAGACTTGATGATAATATTCAAATTTCTGATCCACTTCTTTTTAATCACAGGTTGCCAGTAGGTCTTGCATTGATCTTATCTAACTCCTGAAGGGTAGCAACCCAAAATTTCACCGACTCTTGTCCAATCAGGCGCTTCCAAAACTGAGAGGAGTGGCACGGTGAAATTAATAAAAAGCTGGTGAAGATCGAGCTTCGCAAAAATTGTGATCCAACACTTTCAAAAGCTTGTTTAAATACAGAGAACCTTAACAACGTCAACATGGTCGAGTGGACAGATGCTGAGCGAGCTGCCATCGCATCTTTGTGGGGAAAGATCGATGTTGGTGAAATTGGACCCCAGGCTCTGACCAGGTGACCTCTCCCGATATTTAGGCTTATTATGAGTTATTCGTACATCTCAAAATGTTACTTAATCAACGTTCTCTTTGTTAAACACTTTGCATTATTTAGTCTAACAGATACAAATATTTACGCACTTTGTGACCATTTTTTCCCTTTAATCTTATGTTGCAGACTTCTGATTGTGTACCCGTGGACCCAGAGACACTTTGGGACATTTGGAAACCTGTCCACCAATGCTGCCATCCTCGGGAATGCTAAGGTGGCCCAGCACGGAAAGACAGTGATGGGTGGGCTGGAAAGTGCCGTGAAGAACCTGGACAACGTCAAGAATACCTACGCCAAACTGAGCGTTATGCACTCTGAGAAGCTTCACGTGGATCCCGACAACTTCAGGGTATGTTTAAAATTCTAAAGACCTATTTCAATCTTACATTATCACTGTGTTGATCATCCTCATTGTCATTTTTTTTAGACTCTTGCTGAATGCATCTCTGTGGTCGTGGCTGCCAAGTTTGGCCCCAGCGTCTTCACCCCCGGTGCCCAGGAGGCCTGGCAGAAGTTCCTCTCCGTGGTTGTCTCCGCCTTGGGAAGACAGTACCACTAAACCCCTGGCATTTTGCATTTGAAAAATGTGACATGCATCAGTGTTTTTGCATTTAAAACAACGTAGATCTATTGTAAAAACTGTTGCAAAGTTCAAATAAAAGTCAAGCCTGCAAATTTTCGTTGATTTGTTTTCACCTTTTTTTTTGTTTGGTTGTTTTTCAACTACTATACAGAACATTGGTGGTTTGAATACTTGCGACCAGTTAAAGTTTCTGATTAAAATCAAAAAGTCCATATTGACCACATTAAATGGTTACACTCAACTGTAGACCACAGTTAAAGTTCTATTCATTTTTAATTAAATGCTTATGTCTTCTAAAAAAAGTTATTTGATATAGAAAAAGGTGGGGTCATCTGAAATTAAGGATACTTGTGAATTAAAACAGCTCATGTTGTAGAGAGGACGAATATAATACTCCCTGAAAAAAACAACTCTATTCTATATAAGAATAAATTCATGTCATCTAAATTTACGTTGACAATAATAATGACCACCGTTTGGATGATCAATTAGGGATGGGTTTAAGTCATACTGAATATAACCTCTGGCCCTCACTGTCAGCCAAATGCGCCACCCAGAGGATACAGTCTGAACCCATCAAGGGTGAGAGGGGTTACAACCTACATTCATCTTTAAATAATCGTTTGCATAATCATCACATTTTTTTCCTAGAGTATATTTGAAACATGAACAATTACTGTGTAAAACTGCACACGGCTTTGTTTTTATTGTTTTGTCTCAGACCAATCTATGGTAATATTAACCTTTAAATCACCAGTGATTATCATTCAAATATATTACACAACACATAGTATTAATATTCTGCTGTTTTAATTGGAGGACTGAATTACCCAGTAAAAAAAAGCACACACAATGACGCATTTTTGTGTATTATATATCTCGGATTTGATGCTCTTGGGGAAATGAGGGGAACTTAAAGTCGGCCTCCTTTTCCTAGCCGGATATTTCTTAAAGTGACACACAACAATACGAACGCATTTGACAGATGAATGCCAATTGTAGCCAGGGTTAAACAAACTATATTTGACTTCGATTTGTCCAGGGCCAGTGTGTTTAAGAAGCAAACACTCGCACTGAGTCTTGATTCGAAAACGAGCTATCTGTCACCGTCGACATTGTGTCACAGCTAACGTAACGTTAGCTAGGATGCTAACATGATGCTTAACCCAAGGGACGGTGTGCCAGATGACCGAATATCAATGTACAGCCATTCTCACAAAAACACATATAAAAGTGGAGACAAAACCAGCCCTATAAGTGTGATACTGGTTAGCTCTGGTAGCAGAGGAAACAAACTTCTTTTTCGCTATCCCTTCCAAAAAGTCGCTGAGTGTCCGTCATCTCTCTCAGGTAGGCATTATTGGTATAAACCCAAGATCTCTCAATTACACTAGACGGGGAGTCCTGTCCTTTTACATAATTACGTCCTTACAGTCACCATATAGAAATGCAATACACTGTTACTGATACTGATTTCACAGTCTCATGGAGTGACCACAATTTGTCTAGATGCATTCTGGAGTATATCGTTCCTCTGTCTTTATACCCCATTGCAATCTTCTCTGACCTTAGCTTGATATGTTCATTAATCTCATGTAACTATTTGATTTGCCCCTGGGTAGGATCATAGCTAACCAAGTTAATGAAATGGCAGTAAAAACAAATCTTTGCAACCCTAAAAGGCTTTGTTTACTGGTGCTGGAGGCCAGAATGTCTCAGCTTTGACTGCTGGATTGAATGTCAAACATCTGTAGCTGGCGTGTCTCTGGAAAAATGAATGGTGAAGTAAAGGCCAAAGAAATGCTCACAGTTACATATCTGTATGAGTGATGTTTATAAACCTAAAACAAATGGATATTTGCTGCTGACTAACCAATGCTGACATCTGTCGTCCAGCCAAACAGAGAAGCCCTTATGCCCTGAACCCAACTGGAGACGTTATTGAAGATCAGGATGGTGATTCAAGGTATTTCTGGCTTTCATATTATATCATTGTGTGTCTGAATTTGGCTGCACACATTATTTTTAAATCAAAATTAGCTTAGTAAGATCACTATCCACCCCCCCTCCTTGCTTTTGATCTTTTTTTCCCACCAAAAATAAAAGTGTTGATGCATATCAATCACTGTAATAAGTAATATTTAAGAGCTCTAAGCAAAAGTCGCGGAAAATGAAAGATGTCACCCCACTTGTCTGGATGTTGTTGTCGTTTCAGCTGTTGGTTGAGCATGCTTGTTCGATCTCAACTGTTGAAACATGACAAAAATGCTTCTGAAGCATTTATTTTTTGCTTTCTTTGTTACATTCAACATGTCTGTCTCAAAGTCTTTCAGTTTTAGCTTTTTGCCACTTCACAGATGTTGATGCTGGTCAGTTCTAGGTATTGGTTGGTTTAAATTGACGGCAAAGTTTTATTAAGAAGCTCCAACTCAGAATTTAACCATCTTCTATCAAAGGAAACTACTAATCATTTCATGACACTGTCTTAAGATAATGACCTTATCTTTTTTGCATAACTGGCTACTTCTAAAGGACTTTTAAGGTGTTGATTGAAGTCTTACCTTTTAAAGGGTTAATAGGAACAACAACTAACATAGTAAGAACTGTTCATTACTAACAGAAAATTGAATAAAGGCTCTTACTGAGCAGCACATTCAAACAGATACTACTAGGGGATTGTCATCTTGGCCGTTTAAGCAGCTAAAGATGATGCTGTAATAGTTATCCATCATTGTTTAAATGATTATTAAGGACTGCATGAACAAGTTTAGTTATACGATCATTTGCATCTGCTTTCATGCTAGTAGGAGGCTGATTTTCCAGTAAATAATGTGAGCATCACTGCTTTTGGGGCTTAGTCATTGCAGAACAGCATTTTCACATCAGTGTTACATGTTTGTTTGGGTTGTTTTAATGTCCATTTTTCTGCATTTAGCCCAACTGTGTGTTGCATTCTCCTTTTTGTTTGCTTCTTTTCTTCTTTTTTTGTGGCCCAATTCCCATTTCAGGGAGCAAACTCCTCTAACTGATGAACAGTTGGTAGCAGGGTAAGACCGAATCATTCTCAACCACCTCTTCTCCGCTTAGATCACCCTTTTCTTTTTTACCCCTTCTTTCCTATTTCGTGTCCTGTATGGATCTCCAACCCTGATCTCAGTAAAATCCCAAGAAATGATCAACAGGGGATGAATCAATGCCTGGATTAGAATCATCAGTGTAAAACCTCTTTTAACTGACACGGGTTACTGTTAATCATAGCATGCAACACAACAGGAGAACATTCAAATCAAATGTGAACTAAAGTTAAGGAAACACTGCACATTCTTCGTTTCAAATTGTGGTGGTGGAGGAAGTCCATAGTGTTTAATTATTTTTTCTGGAAGTCAACACTTTCATTTTTACCCCTCTGATTGCAGCATGAGTTATCTGATAAAAAAAAAACAGCATGAGTCTTTCACATTCGCTGTTTCTGTATCAGCTCCACGTTTTCTGCCGGGAGACCTCTTCCTCTTCTCTCTTTTCCAGTAGACACACAAGCTTTGTATTTATTCTCCCGTTTGTTAAATGACAGATTCATCTAATGAATGCAACCCTTCTCATAGACTCAGATGTAAAAACTGTAAGGAAGCAGCTAATTTAATTTATTCTCGCTGGCCTCAGCTTCTCCTGTGGTGCAGCCTCCCGTCCCGCTGCACAGGTTCTCATCGGCTCTGTTGTTTCTTCCTCAAGGTTCTCAGACATCATCCTCGCCACCATCCTGGCCACCAAGTCTGACATGTGTGGAAAGAAGTTTGAGCTGAAGATAGACAATGTTCGTTTTGTGGGTCACCCCACCCTCCTCCAGCATCCCCCCATCATCCAGGCAAGAACAACTTACACTGGGCTCACTTTTTGATTCCGACCAACATGCCACTAAGCATACCTAAGACAATTGTTATTATTTGATTTGTCGCTTTGACTTCTTCATCTTCAGGGTTTTAAGACAGTTAGTGTGTATAAAGCTGAACTACTAGCATCTCTGTGGCTTTGGTTGTGTTTTTGTTCAGTGCTTTTATGACCTTGTGTCCACCAGCTTCCCCAGATTCTATATCAAACATATACTTCCATTTTTCCTGAATATCTCCTATATTAATTGAATACATAAAAAAGAGGAAATAATCAGACTTTAGAATAGATTCACTTTCCTGATTTGATTTTTTCAGTCTGAGAACACCATTTAGTGTTTTCAGTTAAAAAAATAATGTAAATGGGATCCATATCTACAGGGCACAGCTTTTTATGATGTGTCGTTGTAGCTGCTTCCAACTTTGGAAAGTTTTTGTAAGGCTTGTTATGTGGAAATTCCTTAAGCTGTGAATTTTAGCAGCTCCCCCTACTGTTTGCACGGTTTTTAGTTCAGCAGCTCACAGGCTGTACTGCTGAAGAAAGTATGCTGTTAGAGGAGAAATAAAACAAGATTTAAAAAACTATAAAACATCCAGTTTGTAATTATACATGGACTTTGTGAAAATTGGGTAAAAATACCGGATAAGTTAATGAAACCCTGCTTGTAGGGGTCAGACAGCACAGTATTTAATGCATATACTGTCACTAAGTTACCGGACATTACACACAGTTGTAATGTTAAATATAGTTTTATCTACTGAGAGATTTTTCTCCTTTTTTTGTCTTTAAGAAAAAGCTGAATTGTTTTTCATGTAAGACATCTGTCATGTTTTTATAATGTTTAGCTTTTGAGTCATGTATGCCTTTCTGTATTGGTTTGGTCATTTTAAGGGTAAAACTATTAAAGAAAATATATTATGCTATAGTAACATTCAAAAATTGAAAATCTACTCTGTTTTTGAATGACCTTTTTCTTATCATATAAAAGTTAACAGGATGAAGCTTTTTTTAATATTCATTGTATTTCTTTTTGTGCATATTACAACATTTTTCCCATTAGAAAGATGTTTCTTTTCTCTTTTCAGGTCTCCAAAACAGATCCCTCACCTAAAAGAGAAATGCCTACAATGATCTTGTTTAATGTGGTATTTGCATTACGGGTATGGAAAATCTTTGTTTTGGTCATCAAGTATCATATTGGACTTCCCTTCTTTATCAATGCATGAACTGTATTACTCATTGTGTTAAAGCTTTTAAAGTAAATAACAGGAGCTAGCTGCAAAACATATATTTAATTGACTGTGGGTGGGACATGTGGAGTTTACTTTCCTATAATCTTAATTCTGTGAATGGGAGGGGTGTGAGAGAGATAAGACTTCACTATCTGCCACAGCATGGCAACTCGAAGAGGAGGGGGCACATTATTCAGCTTAATCATGCTTTTTGGCAAGGCGTAGCCCTGTTCCTGCCCGTGCTGAGTCATGGTACGCAGCACATCCCACATGAGGCCAAAATTGCCCTGTCATGTTTTGCACACAATATTTGTCCAGCAATGGTAATAATTTTTTATTTTTGACACCTTTAAAACAACAAAAATCCTTTACAAGTAATTCGATTATATTTAAAAAAGCTTAATTAGTTCCTGAAATGTTTTTTTTAAATGTTACACACAATGTTTTCACACTTTCATTTCATGTTTTGCAGTTTAAAACTATAGAAAAATAATTTATTTGGACAAATCATACATTAAGATGATATGTAATATGTAATTATTATGTTAACATGTCACATTTGTTGTATAACTAACTTGGATAAAAAATAATCCGGTAAATATATAGTGTCACTAAGATGTATGTAAGTTAATTGCATTCTTGTTTATTATTTGTTCGTAAAAGTCTTCATTTGAATAATTCTGAAAAAACATTGTTTTTCATTATTCAGTTGAAGCCATGATAATAAGTGAAGAGTTCACCTGACTCTAATAAACCATTAATAATATTTATTGGAAGTTTTGCACCAGAACACTATCACCAACATGGATCTTATTCTTTCTAATCCAAATGTGCAAATTATGAATATGCCATTTTTTTAAATGACCCCCAGCTGATTTCATACAAGTGGGTGACATGAGCTGCACATGAAAGAACACAGGTATCTGCTTTGTGATGACTTTTAAAACACGATATAGTTAGTTGACATCCTTGTTGACCCTTGCAGGCGAATGCTGACCCGTCGGTCATCAGCTGCATGCACAACCTGTCCCGGCGCATCGCCATAGCCCTGCAGCACGAGGAGCGCCGCTGCCAGTACCTGACCCGAGAGGCCAAGCTGATGCTGGCCGTCCAAGATGAGATCACCACCATGACTGAGAGTAAAATACTCCCTCGGTGTTCTTACTAACTGTGTAACTCTGTGTTTAATTCACAATGTAATAGAATGTCTGGAGCGTTCTTTCATAAAACAGGGCGCTGAAAAAATGTGAAAATATTAATGATTCTCTGTCTCCTGATGTCAGCAGATGGAAGCCCCCAGTCTCCCTTTAGGCAAATCCTTCCAAAATGTAAGCTAGCACGGGACCTGAAGGAGGCTTATGACAGGTTTGTTCTACGTTTACGTGTATTTTTTTTTCTGATTCCCCCCTAACAAGACATGTCCGTAAGGCTGAATCTGATATTTCTGGGTTTCAGACTTTGTACGACTGGTGTGGTGCGACTCCACATTAACAACTGGCTGGAGGTCAGTTTCTGTTTGCCACACAAGATCCACAGGATCGGCGGCAACCACATCCCCCCAGAGGCGTTGGAGCGTAGCCTGAAGGCTATAAGGTGGGCTGAATGTTTTCATGCGTATTTTTTTTTAGAAATGTTTTAGGTGAAATGAAACTATAAACTAAATTTTTGTACTTCTGAGTGAGATGATTAAAGGCGCCTATCACAAGCAGCCACAGGATCTCCACTCACCAGGCCCCCTTCTCTAAACCTAACACATAAAAACCACATATGTTAATAAAGATAAGGCTGCTTCTTAAACTAATATTTATGATTGTAACAACCACATTCCTATAAAAATACCTCAGTAGATAAATTAGGCTTATCTTATTTTTCCTGTTTTTCTTTGACAGAAAATGTGAAAAATGATCATTTTATTGAGTTAATGAACAAAACGTATTCCTTTTTTAAATTTTCTTCGATGATTGAAATCTTTCTAAGCATATGTGCAAATTACTAAACCATTTTTGTAACATTTCTATATATGATTCTGGTTGGAATAACTGTTAACTGTTAATCAGTCAGTTCCTTTCAAGGTTTGTTTATATTTTAAGGTTAAGTCAATTAAAGGTGACAAAGAATCCAGTTTTCTGTGGCTCATCCTGCCATCTGCTGCTTACTTAGTATACTTCAGCTTTTATTAGTATCTCTTGTATTTTTTTATAAGGCTTACGAACTAAATGGGCCCATTTACGCCAGAATATTTAATTATGCCTTGGTTTGAAAATGTTATTTTTTCAATAAAAGCCCACTTCATCCTATTTGTTTTCTGTTACCCTACAAGCTGCTATTGGCTTTGTTTTTAGATTGTCTAATTGTCTAAAACATATTCAAACACATTTCAACAGGCTGGAAAGATAAAACATTAAATGTTGGAACAGGGTAGCTGCGGTGTTTTGGTGTGTGGACTGCGTGTGCAAAGGGTGCTCTCTGGTGGTTAAAAGGTGCAGAGCACTGAGAGAACATTGTGCTCTCTCTGGTCCTGCAGGCCCTATCACGCCCTGCTGCTGCTGGAAAGTGAGAAGGCTCTGCTCAGCCAGCTGCCTCTGGACTGCTCGCCCGCGATGGTGCGGCTCATAAAAACCTGCTCAGCGGTGAAAAACCTGCAGCAGCTCGCTCAGGACGCTGACCTGGCCTTACTTCAGGTGTGGAACAATCACACTGCCCTATTACCTCAAACATTCTGACATATGAAATCTAAATAAAACTCTTTGACTTCATCATGTAATTTCTAAAGTTTAATTTAAATGAAAATTCCCCATCGTCATAAAAATGGCCGAAAGGCACCTTTCCACGATTGTGGAGATGTTGAACGTTAATTTTATTTTTGGAGGTTTACCACCATCTAGTGGATATTATATAGACCGCCTATCAGAGAGTTCCCATGTCTGATGGAACAAGCACATCAATTTTTTCAGTCACTTTCAAAGAAATGTTCTGATTTTTTCACACCATGGATGATTGAACTTTTCCTCGCTCAGATCTTTCAAATTGCTGCTCACTTGGTGTATTGGGGAAAGGCAATCATCATCTTCCCACTATGTGAGAATAATGTGTACATGCTGTCTCCACACGCCAACATCTCCCTGTGAGTATGTTTAATCTGATAAAAAAAGATAATGATGTGAAAAATACCCTGTGTTAGAGTTGGTTCATCAACATTCTTTGAATTGATAGCTGTAAAAGAAACAAACTAAAATTGAACTTGTAAAATGTTTTAGCCTAAGATTTGCGTGTTGAATACTGTGTTCCTTTTCTCCATGAACAGATACTCCCCGCTGGCAGAGCAGTTTGCTCAGCAGTTCTCTGGTCGTGATCTGCCCTCCATGTTAGCCAAGTTCTCACTGCCCGTCTCACTGGCAGAGTTCAGGAACCCCCTGGAAGCTCCAGCACAGGAGGTCAGACTGGATGCAACAGCTAATTAACCTGAGCACTCTGAAGTGTCCTGCTTCTCCATTTGCCACTGTGGCTGCTTATTTTTGGTGTTATAAACTGATATGTACTTGTTAGCTCCTTGATTTGAAAAGAAGAAAGACAAAAGTTCAGGATTTGGTACATCATCAGTGTTATGAGTGAGGAATGGCTGACATTAATATCATCATTTTTTTTATACGGAAAACCCTTTCATAAGAATATATGAGGAATTTTTCCTCAATGTTTAAAAGCATTTTTTTCCCAATAACAATTCGCCTACCAGTCACTAAGGAAAAGCCAGGTTTAGGAGCAATATAGCTCTGTGCTAACATACTTTGACACAGATGTGGGTTTCATGTGCACCAATTGGAAACGAGTCCCGGCTTGGCCCAATCTTTGAGGTTGAATTATAAATGGCTAAAACACACGAGCCCCATGGCCCGCATCCTTCATTTTTCATGAGAACAAGATCAGCGTCTGGGTTCTTTGTCGATACTCTATTTTTGGCTGGTGTGGACCTGCAGCTCATTCAAAACATAATCTGACTACCTGAGCAGCTTAAGTGCAGTTTTTTTTTTTAATCCCGTTTGCAGCTGTAACGTTCTCTGTCCTGCTTTCTGACCAGGCCCAGCTGATCCAGATGGTGGTGTGGATGCTCCAGCACCGCCTGCTCATCCAGCTGCACACATATGTGTGCCTGCTGGTGCCCCCCAGCGAGGACGAACCGGGGACGAGGGAGGAAGAGCTTCCGCTGGCTGCGCGGGTGGGAGGCCGGAGTCTCAGCACGCCGAGCGCTCTCAGTTTCGGTTCGCCAAGTACGTCCTCCCGCCGCTCTTATCCTCTGCCCCCCCTCCGATGGCCGGCGTGACTGAATGTTGCTGCGTGTGTGTTCCCCGCCGCGTGCGCAGCCAGCAGCGACGACATGACCCTCACCAGCCCCAGCATGGAGAACTCCAGCGCCGAGCTGCTGCCCGGCGGAGACTCGCCCCTCAACAAGAGGATGACCGAAACGCTGCTGACCAGCCTGACGGAGCACGAGAGGCAGGTCATTCTGAGCATCCCCGCCGCGCAGAATCCAGAGGACCTGCGGATGTTTGCCAGGTAAAGGCCTTCTCTTTAAACAGACTAGCTTTGTTTTATTTAGTTTGTTCACACCTTAGAATGTTTTACGGCCGGTGGGGTCAAGCTGCGGGGCTCCAGGGCCGCTGCCCAGCAGGTTTGGGATGTTTCTCTGCTTCACATCTGACCCTGACTGATGGGATCTATTCGATACGTAGTTAAACTATAACAGACAAAGCAGCAGTCAGTTGATCTGTGGGCCCCGGTTACTTATGCTGTTATGAATAACTTATAATGCCTTATCTGGAAAATAGCTGTTCTGTTCCCATTAACTGAGAATAGGGACAATTATTTGTTGTTCATAATTAGATGTTGACTCTAACAGTCTGCTAATCAGCGCTGCATTCAAGCTAATTCACAGCAAAGGGAAATATCTGCGCTGCAAAAGTCTCCTTCAGGGTTTACAGTGAAAGCACTTAGCCCATTATGTTGTCTGCTTTCAGACTGCTGCATTATTTCCGCGGACATCACCACCTGGAAGAGATCATGTACAATGAGAACATGAGGCGCTCGCAGCTGAAGACGCTGTTCGACAAGTTCCGCAGTGTCCTTGTCGTGACCAACCATGAGGATCCAATTATTTCCATCTTTCAGTCACCGACGGACTAGCGGCGGAGACACCGCCACCGCCTCCCGACAGGAAAACGTGCCAGTTTAACAGCAGGGGCTCACTGCCAAGTGCTCTTTCTTTGTCAAAGATGTTTCCCCACAAACTGGAAGGTTGCATTCATGTGTGGAGATTTACAAAATGTAGTATTTTCTATTTGAGCCAAAGGTTTGTTTACAATATTAAATTATTTTGTATATATCAGTCATGCCTTAAGGGGTTCACTGTGAATACTGGATTGGTGCACAGGGAGGGGGGAGTTCAAAATAATCTCCCTACATCTGGTAGATCATCTTTTGGCTTCAGAAGGGCATCATGAGTAATGATCATTCCAGGCCTCCACCTACCTCTCCATAGGAATCCCAAAGGTGTTGAGAGAAAAGACTCCAAGACAGGGGAAAGTCCAAACATCAGGCCGGCTGTTTGCTCTGAGGGAAACCGAGCCTTCCAAACATCTGTGAAACCACTGAGAGGAGAGCTTAAATGTTTATTGAAAAACACAGATGAAGCTCAACAGGAAAGACTACTGAATGAATACAAGGACTTTTTACTTTTTTTTTTTTTAAACTTGCACTGATATACTAAATTCTATTGTAAGACTTTGCATCAACTAATGTAAATTAAATGCTTAAAAATGAACAGGCAAAATTAATAGAAATGTTTTTTTCCTTGGATTTTAATAAAATTTTAGTCCATGTTGGCTTCTCTGAGCCCTTAAATCGGAGGATGTAAAGGGAAAACAGGTTTTTAATTCTTCAGATTTGCTGTGTCTTCACAATGCAAATAGAAAATGTTGGAGTTCTCATTCTGTCTAAATGGCTGATGTTAAAAAATGGCATCAGATGTCAGAATAGTTCCAGGAATATTCCCGTCAGGTCCTTTTGACATTACGCTGTTCCGTCTCACGCTGCACGTCTGAGGGACCTGAACTGTTTATTGCATTTCCAGACAGAGACTGTCTCTCTGCTTCTTTATTCACTACGCTAACACAGGGGTGACCGCGCAGATAAAACCGCCACGGCCTCCTGGCCCATTCTCCGTGCGAGTCGATTCCAACGCGCGGGGCCGACACTACGTCCGGCGGTCCGGCCGGGGCGATGTCTGGACTCCTCTCCAGCCACACCTCCGGGTCCGAGGCCAAGTCTCTCCGGTCGAAACAGCGAGGTATGTTTAGAGCCTGGCAGAGCTTGGAGGGCCCGTTGCACAGCTCTTTGTCCTTCAGCTGGCGGGCTCCCTCCTTGCGTCAGGCTGCCCTCAGCTCCCTCATGACGGGCTGGCCCTGCAGGGCCTCCAGTGACCGCAGCAGCACAGCCGCCCCCTCCCCTGAGTCAGAGAGACACAATGTGCTTCGCTCAGCAAGGCTCCACTCCGTCTCCTTCCTTTTTTCTCTTTGCCACCCAATAGTAAAAACACACAAAACCACTGAATGGTTTTAAAAGTCTGACACCCCTCAAACATCAGCTTTGCAATCACAAGCGCCGGTTACCTTCGCTGGACACGTTCATACAGAGGTAGATGCCGTAGATCGGGTACACGTAGATGGTGCCCGGCTTCATGAACATGGCCGCGTTCCTCTCTGTGCGCCTGCCTCCCGCCGAGTGTGACGCCTTGTCCTCCCCCCCCGGGTAGGCTTCCGTTTCCACCACCGTCCCTCGCAGCTCAGTCCCGTCCGCACACCTGCGCACCAGCACCTAACGGGGTTGGGACAGACAAGGTCTCGAAAGGTTACAAAATGGTTTTGTGATGATAATGAAAATAAATCAATGCAGGTTTTTTAAAAGAATGAATAAATTCTTTAATGATGACTTTTATCATTAGGTTGTGCTTGTTTGTAGCTGTGTATTTTGGCCCCTATTCAGTCCACGAAAGGCTTTTGTGGGTTAACTTTTTCTTGATTTGAGGAAGTTCAAAGTTTAAAAAGCCAATAGAAACATCGAACAGATGAATGTGTGTCCAATCTGTTCTGTGGAATAACAAAGCAGCCCTGTTGGTCAATATATCACATTGCATTGATCTGTTATTAGCAGAGGACTCCTCTCTACTAAACCATACCATGTTGGAGCAGGTGGAAAACACACAGTTATCAAACCCCTCCCATACTGGAAAATGTTGTCTGTATCAGTTTACCATTTAAAATCAAGTAATGTCATTTTATATGATTTAAAAAAATCATTTAGGGCATGCATATTATTTTCTAGTTTAAAAAATGTAAATGTGTATCTCGGGGCCACCCCCTCACACACCTAGGCATGATGTGGTCCGCACATGTCTATCCTCCACCAGTTTACACACCCACACACAAAACTACGCGCAGAACAACTGCTTGTTGTGCTGTGTGTGATGTCCAGGCTAAAAATAACTAGCTCGTAAAAGCCAACCGAAACCAAAGGGTGTGTCAATCTTTTTTTTCCTGTTCACAGTAAAAAAAAAAAAAAAAAAAGAGAGAAAGAGAGAGAGAGAAAAAAAGGGGACTGTTATAACCAGACTGTGTTTTTTACATCATGAATTCACAGTTCACTCCTGCGTGCAGCCGTTGCATGTCAAATATCATCAGCACGATCACATGACCCTTTGTGGGCGCAATACATGCCCACAGGCAGGGGAGTTTGCTGCAAATTCAGTTTGTGTGGTATGACGGGGGGGATATTAAAGATTTTTATTGGGAATTTTTTCCTTACCAACAACTATATCCCATCATATGAATAAATAGTAGGATGTTAAGCAGAGGCCACTGTCTAATTTATTTAAATAAATAAATACAAATAATAATAAACAAAAAGTAAAAAAACGAATAAATAAAATAAGACTTTAGTCTTAAAAAGCACAAGCGTGAGTTTTAATATTTATGATTAAATATTAATATTTATGATTTTGTTTAAATAGCTCAATATTTCTATCTTAACCCATTGAAGGATTTTGATTAATAAGAGCTGATGCTTTCAGTCCAAATTCATATAATGTGTGTAAGCCATCCTTTTAGGCTGATAAAAAGGTAGAAGGGAGAGGAGACGTTAACTAATTTCTGAGTACAGCTTCACACCAAGTGCATGTTTTTCCTTTGGGAAAACTAGTCCAATAAACTCCATATAACAAAGCTGTAACTTTCTTATGAAAATGTTTTAAACGATACCATTAGAAGAGGGCACACAGAGATGGACCAGGTTTTCACAGCGGCAACGAGGCTGAGTCTGGTGGGCTTATCCTTCATCAGTTTAAAGACATGTGGAGGCCTTTCACATTTAGAACACTGACAAAGAAAACCAAGAGTTGGGATGTTACACAGGGAAGGATGGTTCAAGTTATTCTGCACCCATCAGCCATTAACTCCAGAAAAAGGTTATTGTTTTTTTTCAATCTGACCCTGGAACAAAGATCCATCACATGATTTATAAAAGATATATCAAATTGAAATTGGGGAATGGAAAAGTCACATAAAATCAAGTAACATGAAAAAACAAAGTTCCAGGAGGGGCCAAAAATGCTACATTTAACTGAATGACTAAATTACCTTCCCCAGGAAAGCTTTAGCCAAGCTAATACAAGGCTGTCTGAAGAAGTCCTCTCCGAGTCTGTGCTGCACGTCATTCTTGGTGAAGTAATGACTTCGTTCCAGCTCAACACTGAGAGCTATTTCATTTTTAATGTGTTTTTCCTGCTGGACTGGGTTAGTGCTGTCCCCCAGCGTGCTCTGCGACGCTGACCGCTCCAGTGGTTGGACAGACGTCGCTAACATCTTTCTTTTTCTTCCTGCCATTGTTTTTCTTCCTCGTAAATAAAGATGTTTTTAACGTTCACATTTCTCCATAACACTTCAGCCACATATTTACAAACGTAAGTGTATCATTATGCATTCTGAACATTTCTTGGAGTCTTTACAGAGCCCCTCTAAAGTCTAAACTAGCATACAGGAAGTAGTTGATGACTGTTTCTTAAAGGGACCGCTCACCATTTCAGACTGACCAGTAGTAAGACGCGTCTGTCATTATGTTAAGTTCATTTAATTTTTGCTATAGATCTTTATGCTGTTTGTGAAGTTTAATTTGATTTATCTCTGTTTTCTTTTTGTATGTTGTTAAGAAAATGAAGGAAAAAATCTAATTAGTCTTTATTTTTTGTAGTCTTCCTCTTTCTGAGTATAACAACCTGTGGCCTTTTCCAGCTGCTGTCTTATCTTTTCAGCCTCAATTGGATAATGTTAGGTTAAAAATAGAGGAAGCGTGCTCTCGGCTGCTTTGGACTGCCTGAGCCCGGGAAGTCAATGGCGCCAGTTTGGCCTCAAGCACTGTGCCTCCATGTGGCTCTTTGGAAAGCTAATTGTGTGTGACATAGCAGTGCCGCAGATTTCAGATTCACGAGGAAAGTGTTGCAGTTTACGAAGAGAGAGTGCTGCTTATGGAAAGATGGATGAAAAAAACTGAATAGATGGGTTATACAACAATATGAGAACCACCTCTACTTTTCCTTTGGATTTGGTTACAGATGTAGCAAGACACCATTCAATTGAAGGGAGGCAGCTGTATGTGGAGCACTGACAGACTTGATCTCAACTCTGTTTCTAAATACTTCCTTTATGTTTCTTCTTTACAGCTCGTTGTAGTGTCTTGTTTTTTCTCCACAAGGACATATATCTACATCTACGAGCTGCATCTGTCTCTAAATACAAAGTTGAATAGTAAAAGTGTGGTAGAATAGTATAATCTATATGCCAGTTGTAATTGGCTCATCCTGCTTTGCTCTAGTTTTACCCTACAGTGTCACTCTCCAGCCTTCCTGCGGTTGTGATGTTCCTCTGCCTGCTGAGCGTGGCGCTGACAGTGTTCAGTAGCAGATCCCTGCTTGATGAAAAGGAAGACTTGCACTCCAGACATTTGATGCATTGCTGCTTCTTCTGTATAAAATCTTTGACAGAGGACTGATACCAAAATGAATTTTTAGCCTGCATGCATCCCCTCTGGCAGTTCCAAAGTTTTGAGGCTTGAAATTCTGTGTACAGTTCAATGAAAAAATATATTATATGTATTGTCTTGTTAAAATGACCACACGTATACCGTATATGAAAACAATAAAACATTATTTACACTATTGCTCTCTGCCATGTAGAAAAATAAAGAGAGAAGGTCAAACATTTGCATGGTGACATTCATTTGATCATATCGCGGCCTTATTAGAATCGTACTGCTTCCCTGCGGGAAATTCCTGCACCATTTTAGTTGTGATTTCCATGGTAAAGGGCATTGTTATTCACTGATTCATGAATAACTTCAGTCTGCGGTATCAGAATAGACTTCTTCATGACTGACAAAATGTGAAAAAAGGGATGAGGCTAAAATCTGCCGACACTGTTCAGCAGAAGTCTTTAGGCATGAAATGTTGACTTTGTCACGGCTCCTGGACTAGAGAAGGCCATTGTTATGAAACCTGTGTTTCCACTGGCTGTGAGCAGAGATTCTGCAGCTCTGGCCACGTCACTTTCGTTGTTGCTGCCATTGACAATTCCAGCAGACACATTTTGGCTTTGCGTTCTGGATTACTTTCATCTCCAGCAGGCGTCTGACCGCTCGCGTTGATGAGCAGGAATACCAGACACTCATCTGTTTGTGCAGATGGACGAGCAGAATGCTGCGAGATGAGAAATATCTTACTAAACTATGAGTCAGAGAGAGCAACACTAGATGTGGAATAATCTGCTGGGTTTGATTGATATTATGGGATTGTTTGGAAGTAGTATTTGTTTTTTTTATTAAAATCACAGTTTAAGTTTATGTTGGAAACTGTGTCGATTATTTCATGTGGCATTTATCTCCAAATGTATTTTTTATAAATTGCTTATGTTACAGAAATACGGTAACAAAGCCTTGAATTAAAAAAAAGAAAAACAACATAAAAAGGGATTACTGATGACAGATGCGGTGAAGTAACCTCTTAACCTTGTCTGTGCTCAGATTTGTAAATATACTTTAGTTCAAGCAAATCCTAATGTGATTAAACAATGATTAGGTGTCTTATATTTGTGCAGAATTTTTTTAATCAGAGACCTTTTCATCATGATAATGGAAGCATCACAATAGCTGGCCATTTTTAATGAGCCTTTTACAAACATTTATTTTTTCTATTTTTTTCCCCTCATATTTCCCACGAAAGAGCAAATCACTGTTAGCCTTCTGACCGGATTCATTCTTCTGTCAACTAACATTCCCCCATAAAATTAAATTTATCGTTGAAGAACCACTTACCAAACTATAAACATTGGAATCTCTGTGCCCTTTACATGTGCTGGGATTAATAATTGATGATGATTAATGATTCATGGCTTTCTTTCCTTGTTTGCGACGGCGTGCGGTGTGCGCTGCACAGGTGACAGAGCTCTCACTGGCAGATGGGTGTGTTGCCTCATTTGCAACTCAACCGCAATAAAGACCTCCTTATCGAGAAAAGGGTTTTGTCTTCTGCACATCTAGGATCGTATGCCGACAATTATTAACACAACCACTGACATTTATGAACTATGGGCCATGTGTTTGCACAGGACCGTGTTATAACTGATGATGAACAATGCCTTTACAATGGCTTTACGTTTAGGAAAGTCCTGCTGTCAGGCAACTAAAAGTGTCCCTTATTCATCTTAGAATGATGTTATTAGAATTCAAAATTATTACTGAACTATTTCACTGATGTTGCCCAGGCCAAGAAAAACTACTATTCTCAATTCCTGCAGTAACTAAAGCATTCTATGCATGGATGAATAAGTAATCCGCAGCAGTGTGTGGCGGCCGGCCATCACCTGTGGCTGGCTCTGAGCCAGTGCCGCTGGATGATCGAGTCCTGTGGCTTCCTGTGGCTTCAAAGACCACAGGCTGCACACTTTAGGTCTGATAGAGAGAGCAGCCACACTTAAAAAAAACTAAAACAGGGTCTGACTGCACAGTGAAAGCCTTGCTGTCATTCTTGATTTTTCTACACTACCTGTTCTGCTGAACTAAATTGAAGTTGTGTGTTACATTTTGCCTCTAAGGGAGAAAAAAAAAAGCTCAGCTCAAAATAAACACTGACACGTATATAATTTTGAAGCAGCGACACTATACGGTTTGACCAGCGCCGGGAACAAAAACAGCATTTAAAATCCAGCTTCATTCGCTGGTGTTTCTGAAGGAAAAAATAGAGACTCAGAACTGCGTCTGTGGATGTTTGACTTTTGTTAACAGATTTCAGCTTTTTCTGAAGATGTAGTAACCCATGTTAAACCCCCCAAAATAAAAAGGTTCTTAACCCAGATATGTCTTGTCTTCCCTCTGTCTCTCTGTGGAAACGGGAAGTAGTTTATGGACCGTTTGACACTGCACTTTTGGTTAAACATTACCCTGTACTCAGCTCTTTTATCTGGGTTTGAGTGATGGGCCTTCGGGGGACCTTGAGTGCGCCTACAGGTCTTGTGCGGCTTCCGGGATGCTGCCTTTGACCCGGCCTCAGCTTTACTCCGTCTCACGGGAGCCTTCACCATTAATTACTGGGACTTCATGGTATATCAATCAGAGACTCCCAGCAGGTGACCGCACCATCCTTACAGATTTGATTGCGTGAAAAAGAGTTGATGGTGTTATTTCATTATAGAGACAGAGATATTATCTCTTGCCTACTTCAAGTTAGATTGAAAGTGTGGCTCTTGCTAGCTGAGTGACAGTAAGATGCATGGGAAAGCGAGCAGTTGTCCATTTTTTTCTCTCTTAATCCTGAAGTAGATGTGGCAGCTGCCAGCACTGACTGCTTCGTGTCTGTTTGCCTTCCGTGAGATATTCAGTCTTCAGCGGATTTTTCTTTTGGGTGGAGAGCTTTGCTGTTACAAAATATAAAAACCACTTAGTTATATTTTCCGCATCACAAATGGTCTATGCCTGAAAGAATGTTGATTTCATAAGTAACAGTGTCATGCAAGTGAATTTTAAACGACCCCCCCATTCAGGTTTTGGAGACTGAATGTACAATAAATCTTAGGGAAAGTGACGAAACATATGGGCTCTGGTGAAATACAAAATTCACAATTCTCTACGTTCATACTATTGCTACGCTCCTTTACTTAGACAGTTGGTCTAAATATATTCCTCACTAACAGAACTATCTTAATTTCATTTTTTTCCAAGGAGATCTGCAGCAAATGGTTTGAAACATTAACGGCCGGGCAGTCTTGGAACCAAATTATGCCCTCATTTATCTTTATTGATAGAAATGCACTATTTGTGAAGCACATCTTAATAAAGACAACCATAAAAGACATATTCTAAGCAAGTTATGCCCTTTGTAATATCATCTGAAGAAAATCCAATACTTGGTGCCCCTTGACAGTACCTCAGAACCTTTCTGCTTCCTACCATCCATCTCACTCTTGAAGAGTATTCCCAGGTGGATCTGAGCTTTCACTGATGGAATGTACTGTAATGGTCTTTTCATTAAACGGAGCTGCAGGGTGTGTTGCCATAGAGAAGCCTTTTTCTCTCAAATTAAATCCCCATATTTGCAGTTGGAGGAAAACCATTGCGACTTTGTTTCTAAACTGCAAGAGCTGCATGTTGTTTTCTTTTCTGGTATGTCTTTCTCTTTCATGTAATGGATTCACAACAGATCTGTGACGTTGCTCGTGTTCGCGGATGTTTATCGGGTTCAGTCACGGATCGAGTCGGTGAAAATGTCATCAGACCAAGGCTCCCTGCCCATGTGACGCTGGTTTAATGTGCATGATGGGGATGCTCAATCAGTTTTTTTCACTTGATCAGTAGTGACGCAGGATTGCGTAATTTCACTACAACGGGCTGTAAGAACAGGACTCATGGGCATGTGATGTGACCAGCACCCCTGTGTCATGTGGCAACTTTGGATGGTTTCTCCAAAAAAGAGGCCTTTCAAAACAAGAAGATACCCATCACCTTCAAACACTAGAAGGATGGCACAAATTTGAGTATGGTACTTTCTGCATTAGTCGGTTATTATCACAAAATCCACACATTTTTGCCTAAAAGAATTGCAAATTGCAAATCTAATGAAGGTACGTTTGAGAAAGAGGAGGTTTCTTTTTGAAAGCCAGAGCAGTAGTGTATTGCAAGTTAAGATTCAAGGCTTTTGGAAACTCATTTCACGGGCAAATTCCACATTGGAGGACACTTCCAATATGGAATAAAATTGTTTTTTTTAAATTCTGCATAATTTTGCCATACCTATGTGACTTCTTTATACCTGCTAACAATGGGACCCTTTGGCTGGCTTTGGTAGTTTTAAAAAGCCGTCCATGGCCTGGGAAAGGGGCAGGTGGGATTTCTTAATGTCAGTGGGGCTGACATGTGTTTATCTTGAGTCATTTGACATCCAGGGTGTTTCTACAGCACTCCAGTCCAGCTGTTTACAACCTATTCAATTCAAGGACTGAGTGGAATAAGAAAATTAAACACCTGGAGTTATGCATCTTCTTTTTCTTTATATTAATTCATTTTAATGTAGAGTGTATAACCTCATAGAAGCCCACAAACTACAAACTGTGCTGGGCTGTCGGTTAAACATGGAGCCCCACACAAGAATTTCAAGGTTCAGTGTCGGAGCGAGGCTGGGGGGGGCTTTGGGGGGGAGTTATGGTTTTATCCTTGGATCCGCACTATGGTGTGCGGATCGCTTAGTCACCCCCCGGTATGGGAGAAGCAGCGCCTCCCTGCGTACGCACCGATTGGTCGACGATCTTGACGGGTTCGCCTTCCCCAAAGAACCGTCTCCAGTCCAGGGCGGGGCTGACGACCAGCAAACTGAATTAGGCTACAACCGGCAGAAGGGGAACTTATCCGGTCGCTTCATGGAGGAGCAGTGTGGGAATGCTCTGTCCCTAACAGTGACGCACCGGGCTGGAGAGCGGTCCCGTTTCGGCTACATCCCCCCCTTTTTTTCTCCCTGTGATCAGGAGTGACCCGATTAAAATACTACAGCACCGGTATCGGCTTCAAAACATCTGCGGGCTGGGGGAAAGGAGCGCGTTTATCGCTGCGCCGCAGGGAAGATGATGTGACAAATCAGAAATTCGCTGGTTTTGGACGAATCTCAGAAGCCGGATTTTTTTTTTTTTTTTTTTCCCCGGGGAAAATCAACTGAGCGGGTTGTAATAAGAGTAAGTTGTCATTTTTTTATCATGTCTGTTGCGGTCGCCCATACGGAAGGCAGCAGTCGGAAGAAGCGCTCACGCGTCGTGATCAAGGAGGAAACAAGCGCATGTTCGAGTCGTTTGAATTACCGGCCAATTAACTGGTCAGCATGGAAATGTGTAAGGTTCCCTACAGCCGTCCCCAGACTTAGGGCTCAGGATGCTGTTCTGTTAGTGTTGCGTTTTTTTTTTGAGTTGACATTGCCCAAGTCGCCAATTTAAAGTGCCCATCCTGCTGCCCACTGAATTCACCTAAAGGCCAAATCACCCATCTAAAAAGTGCCATCATGGCAACGTACCCAGAAGAAATGGGATTAATGCAGAGTAAAATGTGTTTCAGGTCCAAAATGAGACACAAGGGGAATTGGAAGATTACTTCCTCCCTTTTTTTCTGGGGAGATTACTCACATTAGAGCCATTTGAGCTAAGGCCTGATGGTTTTAATTACACAACTATGGGACTATAGCCTGATTGGAGGAAAGTTCCTGCCTCTGTCTGAGTGTATATTTAAAGGATTGCACATAGGTGAACTGCATAGTTTAATAATGGTGGGATACAACGTGTAATATCCCAACATAACCGTACTCATCTTTGCCCTCTCATTTCTACTCTTCAAAGAAGTGATTTTTTTTTCACGAGAATCCGCCAATATAATTATTACAGGATTTTCCAGATAAATACATACAATCTATAATTCCAGATATAAAGAAGAATAACTGGTATTTTCATGACACGCAGCCTCCCTGTTATCTCCCTCTTTGTCCGTAAACGTGTTATTTTGTTCTTAGATCTTGCACCGTGACTCAGAGTGACTCACGTCAGAAAGTCACAAAATCCCGCACTTGCAATGGTCACCTAAATGTCTAAATTTGACTCACCGAAAGTAAAACATTCCAGGACGGCGGCGCGAGCAGCCTACATATTAACCAACTACAACGTTGTTGACAGGTTACGCGCACTACTGTCCTGCAATACCTGGACAGACTAAAGTGAAACCGTAGACATACTGTATTAGAAACTGCTGAGTTATTTTGGCAGACGGGACATAGGAGCACATGGCCTGGTTTGTGTGCCCAGTGTTCCTGAAACGTTATCGCATGCAGCGGGGGGGGGGGGATCATAGCTTGGGGTGATGTAATCACACCAATAAAGCAAGCCCCTGATGTATGATAGTGGTGGTCATGCTGGTCCTCTGTAACGGCTCCAACTGGACTCTACAGTGAATGTTCCCAAAGTGTGTATGATTGGTGTTTATATTGGTTGATATCTGATACTTGGAGGGAACTGGAAGTAGCTATGATGGAGCAGGTCTATCATCCAGACTGGTCTTAGTTGATAAGCTGGTATGGGAGTTTTCAGATGGCTGTTGAAGGGGCCACACTGAAGGCATGCCTGGATGACTCATGGAGCAGTGTCTGTCTGTCTGTCAGTCTTGTCAAGTGCAGTCTTCTTCTTGATGTTGCCTTCCAATATAACCACGCATTCTGGATTTCACGCCCAGTGATTGCGTAATGAAACATCATTCCCTGCCAGTCTTCCAAATGCTTTTGTCCCCCCCTGCATCCCAAAGCATCTTTCAATGCAAGTATTTAATTTGTTTGTCATGGAATTAATTGATTTGGATGAATTGTCATATTTGTATGTACAAAAAACAAACAAAAAATTCTCAGAAAAAGTCTGTTGACTAACAGACACAGTTTTTAGTAGGACTTCAGAGGTTTCTGTCAGAATTCTGGCTGCCTCCAAACTTGGGCGTACGCTCTGCGATTGTTGGTCATTTTCTTCAGTGTGTCTGGCCAGAACTCTGTGTTCAGATGAAATGAGCGTCACTGGGCTGAACAGTTCCATGTGTGCAGAGCACATGCTTCTTTGAATAACCTTGGGCAGTTTAACCCATGAAACACATCTGTGTCACAATTGAAATCTTTTCGCTTTAGAACCCATTTTAGCCACCAGTCTGAGGTTTCCATGGAGTCCTACTAAGGGGGAATTGATTGTTATCTTTCACTTCAGGAAAATGTATTTATATGTGTTTGCATTATTTACCACACTGCATGCATTTGGTTTCCATTTAAGAACCTCACATTCTTTTCACCGCCATAAGAACTCCATTAGAGCTCTGACCATTGTGCACTAAAAACATTGTGGTTGTAAAAAAAAATTCACTCCACATATTGTAAAACAAATTAACGCTTTCCCATCAGATAGTAATGCATCTGTTACCTGTGCCAGGGTTGAATTTGTAAAGGAAGTCTTAAGATTGTGAATGCAGACACAGTAGCCGAGGAAGTCAAGCATGTTCCCAAACTTGTTCTTCAACTTGAGAGACGGTATGAATGGTTCCACCTAACTACTTTTGTAAAAAAAAAAAAAAAAAAAACTGATCTCACACTTGAGACAGGCATCTGCTAAGAGTCAGGTCAGGCACTTGAGATGGCAATAGAGCCTACAGGCAGTAGTGGATGTAGTCCTCACTGGTAAGATCATGCATGGATTTTTTAGATATTAGGGAATATAATATCATCATATCTATCCTGCCTTGGTATTTTGAAAATTAAAGGAACAACAGATTTCTGGTTGAAACTGAACCAAACAGGGACGTGCTTGGTGTGATTGTATTGCTCCGCTAGTGTTGCACGCAGTTTAATTGATTCTTGGACACCTTTGTGGTCACATGATGCAGTGGCAGACATGGTGATGAAGTCAGCTGTGATGTAATGTTGTAATGCAGCAGCGGGGCTATTTCAGGTCTACCTCTAAGCCTCCAAGCCTCCCATCTGCCAGTGTAACACCTTGCCTTTTTCTCAGTCAGCGCCTCATCAGTCATGAGCCGGATGGCCATTAAAGAACCAGTATTTGCTGAATTAACCCAAAACTTTGAACTCAACCATTTCGAGAAAAATTGTAGATGTTACGGCATAGACATTCCATCTTACTGACAGCTGTCACAGTTATATGAAACCAACACAAGGCTGTATCAGAGATGAAAACATCTTTTCTGCACGTTGGTTTGTGTTCTGACTGACAAAGCTTCTGTGCAAAGCAAATTTTCAGAGCTGTGACACCTCTGCAAGCATTGGCTTTGAAGGCCAGTGCTCATGCAGAGGGCGTGCAACAATGGCCTCTTGACCTTTGATCTTTTTCTCTGAGTGTGAAGAGCTCTCAGAGGGTGTGTCAGAAAAATAATGCAAGAAATACCAAAATTTCCCTGCTATATTTAGACAGACATATGCGCACCAGACTGCTACATTTTTCTCACTGGCTTGAGTTTCATCAGGGTGATCAAGTTTTGGAAAACCAGATCAATCTCTTTGTTTTGAAGTGTGCTTATTTATTATTATTCTTGCTAGTAAGGCTGCATTTTCAAAATGGCTTCCAAGACAGAGGTTTTTTTCCAAGATGGACATGCTTTTTACAGCTAACTTCATTTAAAACATTTGGGGCATTTTTTATTGTTGTTACAGCACTACAGCAGTGTGTTTGCTTTCCTTCAACTCATTGTTAACCCTAAAGGCCAACTCAAGGAACACCCCGATTGAGACAGCAGCACTGCGAGGGCCGTTTTAAATAGGATCGACTTTTCTTTGGCCCACTTTACTCCACCACCCCTGCTACTCTCCCACCCCTCTATCTTTGGCGCAGTCAGTTGTCATATCCATAGGCTGTGAATCTTCAGTGTGTGTACTAGACTGCTAAACTTAAGTGGACTGTTCCCTGAATGGAGGTTCACACACAGTTATATCTGGATAGTTTCAGCAGTCCCAGCAACATCACATACCACGCACCGGACTCACTCCAGCGACTTTTCCAGAAATGAGGGTGTGTTTTCAGCTCCTGTGACATGTCTTTACTGCCTTTTTTTCCCAGAGGAGGTGGATCTTGTCGAAAAGTTAATTGTCTTCTTTTAGTTTGAAACCGAGCACTTTATGTCTAGTACTGAGGAATCACCAAATGCTATTAGTATTAGTAGTTTCGATTGTTTAAAAAAAAAGAAGCTTGAGTTCTTTAGTTGTAATGCTCCTTTTTTACGCCTGTCAGTCAGAGGAAGTGATGTGGCATCCAGCCAGACATTGTTTAGATACCTGAAAGCACGAGATCCTGCAGCTCTCAGCTTGCTTTCATTACATAGACTTTATGTATGTTTTCACGTTGCAAACTTTTCCTTTCAGTTGCCAGTTGACAGAGCTCGTAATGCTGCATGCCAGGGAAAATGATGTAAAACTCCTTCATTTATGGTTCCAAAATGACCCAGTTATACTTCCACCATCCCATTTCAGGCTCAGTGTGTGGTGTAAATGACTTAATCTAAAACAGAAAGGTTTTCACTGACTTAAACACATTTTAAAATCATATTACTGTGAAAAAAAAGAACAAAAAGGTTTTGTTTCACTTCCCTAGTTTCTCTTAATCAGACATTCAGTCTCCTAACCCATTTCCCAATCATTTCGTGACCGTTATGGTCAAGGGTGTAAAATCATAAACAGATTGAAGTAGCCCTATGTGAGTGTGTTGTGACCTGGGGGAAAAACTGACTCTGCTTCCTTGGACAAAGAGCCTGTGTGTTTTCTTCTGTTACATCAGCAATGAAGAGGCCTTCCATTAACTATGCCTATAACCATCCCAGAGGACCTGCCCCAGGCTTCCCTGTTTTCCTGTGCTTTTGTCAGTTTTCCACTGATCTGTTGTCCCTGCTGCATGGCTTTAGTCTCCCCATTTCCTCAGCGCACATCCTTATTTTAACAGCACCCTCAGCACAGCTTAAATTTTGTAGCTTTACCTGGGTGTCCCCTTACAATGCAGTGGTCTGGACAGTTTGCTGCTGGTGAAGTTGTATCTTTTCCATGCTAATAGCTCTTTGACAGAAAATAAACAGAGCTGCTTTATCTGCCTCTGTCTATAATCAGTTTAGAGAACTGTGATAAGTGTCCCTTAAACAATTCTCCATGAGACTAAAAATCATTAATAATCTGCATTTAACTTTGTCCACACGGGATTATTTAAACCACCTTTTAAACACTGTTAAATCTTGAAATGTGGGAGCTGTTCCTGAATACAAGACAGACATTTTTAAATGACTGGCTCATGTTTTGACACAGAGGGGCAAATGTCACCTCACATTTTTCTGAGTCATTGCACGCGCATATACCTCGTTTGTTCTTTTTACCAATATATCGGTGACCCACATTTGCCTCTCTGCCCAAAGAGTTCTCCTGTGAACTTAAAATATCAAGGTCAACATCAGAAAAAACAGTGTACAAATGTATTATTATTATTATTACTTACAAATAATAGCGTTTTGTTTTTTACTTCACAGTTTGGGCAGACAGCATATTCCGCTTTCATTTGTGTGAGCCAGCAGATATCGAAACTGAATAAGCTCATATCTGTGGATCAAACTACGCCCAGCCGGACAGAGTTTTTTAATACTCATAATTAATGATACCTTGCTGCCTCTCTTCCTGTTTCTTCTTATTTGTCTGTGCAACAGATGAGAGATTCAAATATGGAAGCTTTATTAGAAAAAGGCTTATCTATTGTGTGTTGCAAGTGAATACTTTTCCCTCCCTCTAATCCACACTGGGACCTGAAGATTAAAAAGGGCTCTGCTGCCTTCATCTCCTCAAAAACAAAAAAAGAGAAATATAATCCTCCTACCTGCAGAAAATAAAGTTTGAAATATTATCCCGGGCAGAGGCTATGTATCAGTGATAAGTTACACTTAATGTGTTTTGTGGGTGAAGGATGACGTTGCTGGTTTCATATGCTCCATTACTCAGTTTGGGCACACCTGTTCACTGGAAGACACGTACAGTATGCCCACACTCCACTGCACACAGGAGCATGTGTTCATATATGCAAGGCCTGCAGTGGTCAGTCTTTGCAGCCGGTCAATACAACACACTCTTGGTAGTTAAAAATCCCCAAAATATTTCAAGGGGACATTTTCCAAAATCTACATGAATTATCTAAACAATGTAAGCCATTTCAGCAAGTCTATGAGACTGACTTAATAACCCTAACCGTAACCCTTAAGTTAACATTGCTAGGAAGGTAAAGTCAGTTTATGTAAAAGAAAAGGAACGTTAAATGAAAAAGAGGAACTCATAAGAAAGGAAATGGATTGGTTTGCTGCTTTGATGGCCTTTGCATTTATTTTTCCCCCCTCATTTTTCACTCTTAGTATAAACCTCTGTTATGAACCCCCATAGATAATCTATG